CGGCGGTTGGGGCTCAGGGCGCCTGAAGGGCGCGGGCCGGGCCCGCGGAGGCCGCGCGGGAGCCCGCGGGCCTGTCTGGTTACCCCGTGTCAGAAAGTCACCTCAGAAGGGATGGCCGGAGCCGGCCACGGCCCGGCCCGCACGAAGGGGTGCCCTGCGGCCCTGCCCTGCCCTGCAAGTTAGCAGCGCTTGCTGTGGCACCCTCTGCCTTGTGTCACACGGCGTGGCGATAGCGCAGGTGTCTGCCGGGAGAGAGGCAGGAGGCGATGCCCGTTTTGCAGGCGCCGAGGCTCGAGCCGGGTACGGCGAGCTTGGCGAAGCCGGTGCGCCGGTGTCTGTCCCAGGGGCTTCGCTCCCTCGCAGCGGCGTTGGACCCGCTGGCACGGGTTCTGCCTGCTGGCAGGCAGTGGGCCGAGGTCGTGGCCCAGGTCACGGAGCTCAGGCAGCTCTTAGTCCGCTGCTGGGTGCCAGGACCAGAGAGCCTGCGCTGATCCAGCTGCCTCTCCGTGTCGCCACTGGGAAAAAATGGCTGTCTCTTAGCAATTGCATTTCATTCCGAGTTTATGTTTTCCACTCTCCTTGTAGTTGATGTTTCTAGCTCTTTCTGGCCCTGGAAAGGTGTACGTGTTTTTCACCTGTGTTTCAAGTCAACCTTTTTCATCACCTTCAGTGCAAATGTATGATTACCGCTTTCTGTCCATGCAGAAAAACTGCTTCCTAATTAGCGTTATTCTGGTCGCATATAACAGTGGACTTGGAAGGCAAACTCTTTGCCACTCTTGTGGTGTGTGCCTGTGGATACGTTATGAGGAGGTTATGGGCTCCATTGCTGAGGGTGGAGTTCCTGCTTAGTTATAAGGAGATTGTCAGTTTCCCCAGTAATACACTTAAACCACCTGAGATGCCCGAATGAAATGTGGATGCCGGCTGCTAAAAGCACATGTTTTGCGTGTTTATCTGCAAAGTGAAATGGTGTTTATATGTTGCTGCAGTTGCAAGCTACTTCTTTGTATTTGGTCATACTTCTTGCAGTCTGTCAAACAGACTACATCAATGGCGAAACAACATGAGTTGATGAATTTTCTGTTGATGAAGTGTTAAAAGGGCATGTATCAAAAGCCACCTAAGGACCAGTCATGGAAAGTGCTGTATTCTATACAAACCCAGGATGATGCTAGCTAGGTGTTTACAAATAGTTTAGGAAAATCTTTTAAGTCTGGATTAACACTTCGAGGATGGTGTGGAAAAGGTACTCTCCCATCACCAGGATGTAGGCCGTAGGAAGTAGTGCCTCTCAGAGGCGAACAGCCAGTGTCTGGCAAGAAGAGGGCTCTGGACCGTGGGAATGAGAATTTGCACAAGAGATCTGATTCAGACACAGGGTGGTAGTGTGTGGTATGGTGGGAAAGTCTGTTAAGTCCTGGTTCAGTTCTCTGCCACAGAAGTAGCTCCAAGCTGCCTTTTGAAGCCATGGTAGCTGCAGGTGTTTCTTTTTTAGCACAACAGCCAACTTGTTCACAGAATGCACTATTTCTCTTCCTTTTGTAGCCTTGAATGATAGAAGAACTATTTATAAACAAAAAATGTAGATAGGTAAAATAGTTACGGATTTCATATATTGTAAATTAATTTTACATTATCTCTTTATGAAATCCTTGGGTGCATTATTGTCTTTCATAGAGGATGGCAAAGAGAAAAAGTAATGACTTCTTTGTTTAATTTATGTTTCAGGCTTCTGAATTGGGCACAAAAAGGAGAACATCAACAGAAAGCAATGAACCCTGTGAAAAGAAGACCAAGGCACGACAGATTACTCTAGAAGATGTCTGTAACCCACTGAAGACTCAGGATAAAAGTGAGTTGACTGTAAACAAACCTTCAAGCATTTATACCCAATAAATAGTTTTTCATTGTCCAGTGTAAAAAATTTGTTGGTGGGTACTTTAGGAAGTGTCTCTTGAGTGTAAGATCCATCTCTGAAGAGCCATTGTGAGCATACTAGCTATACTGTTAAAGCACCTTTCTGTGGCTCAGAAGCTAGGTATTTTAGCCTTGTTCCAGAATTACTCTGCCAGTCCCTTTCAGCTGTCTTGGCTTTAACAGGTTGTTCAGTCAGTGAAGCCAAGAGGCCCAGGCAGAAATGCTGGAACTTCCCTTTATGTGTTGGTTTAACAGTTTGTCTTTCAGTCTCAGGCTGAGGCATGACTGACAACTGACAGCTCTGTGGATTCTGGCCTGTGACTGGGATATCTAAAGGTTACCTCAAAGTAAATAGTTCTAATGCAGTGCTCTTAACTGTGAAATGACAGCCACTTAATTATATTGAAAATGCCTGTGCTCCATCTGGCTTTGAACCAAGAATTTAACAAATTAATGATGCTAGTAGAAAAACAAATCAGTGAATATAAAGTTCATTACACTTAACACTTCATTGAAAAGAATTAGCCTCTGTAATTTTTTTAAAGAAGGAATTAATTATATCCAGTTTTGTAGGTATGATGGTTTGAAGACACCATCAACTAGCAATATTGTCTGCTTAAAAACTGTACTGAAAGAATACCACTCATCTTCCAATATTCTTGGCTAATTTTGTGGCTTTGCAGTTATCAGTCTAGAAGATAATTGTGCTTCTTTTCCCATGTATGAAGAAGCATACAAGTGAGGAGTATTGATTTTCCAGGGAAGTTAACCAAGCTGATTACATGCACGATTCTGTCAGGCTGGCAGAAATATTGCAGTGAGAGAGGAGAAGGAATGTAGGGGAGAGAGAGACAAAGCAAAATGATTGCATTCTCTGCTTACTGATGTCATTCTAATAGGCATTCTGTTTTAGAAAATAAGTTGCTAATACTTTTTTGTTGTGTATTTTTACTGAAGAAGAACCTCAGAAGAGCGAAAAGCCCCGTATATGTTTGCAAACTCTAGACAGATTGAGAGAATTCTGCAGTGATTCAGACCAGCCATGTAACAGAGTCCGAGAGGATAGTTTTCGGGAGAAAGAATCTCCAAATTTGGAAAAATGTCCCAGTATTATTGGGAGAAGTTCACAACTGAAAAACACTCTTCCGTCTTGCGACACTAGCCCAAAGGTTGCTCAGAAGGTATGTAGAGCTTTGGTTCGTGTTGTCTAGACTACTTTTTATGGTTTAAAAAAGCAAGCTTCGGCACAAGATTCCTTTTGTGTTTTTGTGTTCTGTCATGAAATAGTGCAGCAGTACCCAACAGACCAGTGTTTGTGTACAGATGTTTTCCTGGAACTCTTAGCGTAGTGAGCAGAATGCCTCTTATAGCTCTTCAGTGGTATCACTGAAAAAAGCAGTAATGAGAGAGCAGAAACACTGGCAGTGTATCTTGTGATTGTGAATCATAGAATCATTTAGGTCAGAAAAGACCTTTAAGATCATAATGAACCTATAATATTGTAATAACAAATGTTCAGTGTAGCCCTTTGCTCAGTGTTCTTTCGGTTCTATCAGTTTTGTACGGGCTGTACAATTCCTAACAGGCTTTCTTTGCAAAAACATGATTTAGAATTATTACTGAGATGTAGCTTAATCCAGTTGCTAATAAATGTAGCTACTAAAGATATCACTGTTTTTTCTATCTGTGGAAGATATGGGTAGCTCCCATGAAAAATTATCATTATGATACACTCTTATCAGCTTGTATCATAGGTAATGGTACTTTGCTTCACCTTTAATTATGGGGCTAATTAACATTACTTAATTGGTTGGGTTTTGGGATCAGCTTGCGCAGTTTGAAGTATTCAGGTCCTAAAAGGCATCTCATGGCTTACTGTGGTGGTGTTGCATTGGGACTCAACTGCTCTTTAACAAAGCTTTACATCTGGCTTTTTGAAGGAAGGAGGTTGTATAGTTGATTTGACCTTCCCTGTCTGAAGGTCATGACCTTAAACTGGCGTGTCTGGGTTGTGTGAACAGGAGATCAAAATAAGAATAGTGAAGTGAACGGCTTGTGGCAAAAGATTTCTGTTATAAGTGAATGAGATTATGTAGGTGTGGTCAGTTGGAGAACACAGAAAACTGATTCCTTTTCTGACCCTCTTTTTCAAACCCTTGTCTGTCTGGGACTTCTTAATTTCTGACCCTTTGTCCATTGTTGTGGTTTAGCCAGCAGCTAAGCATCATGCAGCCACTCACTCATTTACTCACTAACTCCTCGCCCTGCCACCCCGTGGGATGGGGAGAATCGAAAACAAGTAAAACTTGTTGGTTGAGATAAGAACAACTTAATAATTGAAATAAAAAGTCAAATATTATAATAATAGTTATGAAAAGGAAGATGACAAAAAGAGAGTGAAATAAAACCCAAGACAGACAAGTGACGCACAATGCAATTGCTCACCACCTGGTGACCAATGTTCAGTCCCCAAGCAGCGATCTGCCCCTCCTGGCCAGTTTATATACTGGACATGACAAAGGGTATGGAATATCCTTTTCGCCAGCTGGGGTCAGCTGTCCTGGCTGTGTCCCCTCCCAACTTCTTGTGCCCTTCCAGTCTTCTTGCTGCCTGGGCATGAGAAGCTGAAAAATCCCTGACTTAGTATAAACACAACTTAGCAACAGCTGAAAACATCGCTATTATCAACATTCTTCTCATACTGAAGCCAAAACATTACACTATACCAGCTACTAGGAAGAAAATTAACTCTATCCCAGCCAAAA